ACCCTTCCCTGCTCACGCTCTCTCTCTCTCCTAGAAATAAATAAAACGTTAAAAAAAAAAAAAAAAGAAAATGCCATTGCATCATATCTGTACCTTTGCGATTGGGATTGCTTTTTGGTGACTGTATAAGTGGTGGTTGGTTTCTGTGCTTTTTTTTCCTGTTCCACGGGTCAAATCTTATGTCAGTTTTAATTATTTCTATTTTAATTATTGGAGCTTTATAGTAAGTCATGAAGTCACCTACTGTAGGTCCTTCAACTTTGTTGATTGATTTGGACAGTCTAGTTCCATATAAATATTAGAATCATTTTATCAGTTTCTACAAAAAAGTCTGTGAGGATTACGACTGGGGTGGCATTTAATCTTCAGATCAATTGGGAAAAATTAACATTGTAATGGTTATTGACTCTTGAAATCTATGAACGTGGTACATCTCCCTTTTTAGTTAGGTCTTAATTTCTTTTAATACTGTTTGTAGTGTTCAATGAGGAGGCATTATACACCTTTCCTTAAATTTGTTCCTAAGTATATCTTTTACACTATTGTAAGGTGGAGACATCATTTTTATTGTTACTTTGTATATGTTAGGCCGTTTTTCTTTGACCACTTTCAAGGTTTTCTTTATTCTTGGTTTTCAGCAATTTGCCTAAGGTGTATCTAAGTGTGATTTTCTTTGTATTTATCCTGCTTGAGGTTTGCTGACCTTAAATCTATAAATTTATGCCTGTCACCCAATTTAGGAATTTCAAGCCATTCAAATTTTTGTTTTTGTTTTCCATTCTCTTTAATCTCTTCTTTTGGGACTTCCAATTATATTTGTGTTAGCTGTTTTTATATTATTCCATGGGACCCTGAGGCTCTTTCATTATTTTTCAGTCTTTTTTTTTCTCCTTTTCAGATTGTATAATTTCTATTGCACTGTCTTTAAGTTCATGGACTCTTTTTTTTTTAATCTTTTATTTTGCACTTTGTGAACAGGATTGATTGTTAGGTGGTTTACAAGATTCCTAGTTCAAAAATAGTTCCTATTCTTTTGTGATTGCAGTACGTATGATTTCTTTATTAGAAGGCTTTTTGGGAGGCATGGTTATACGTCCTTTGACTTTTAAATATTCTCTTATTTTATAGGATCTGTCATCTGTCCTTCACAGCACGGTTTCAAAGGTACCTCTCATTCCTTTTCTCCCTCTTTTCCCCAGAAACACTGGCTTTCCGAGACCCCCTCCTTGAGTTGTGTATACCTTTTATTTCCTGGACTGCTCTGACCTAGCAGAACTCTTTGTTAGTTTCTTCATACTTAAGTGGATTTTCTTTTCCTGGGAGCAGTTTTAGTTCCATCTTATGCTCTCCATCCTTCTCTTTCTTCCATGCACTTCTCTTCCCACTATGTCCCACCATACTCTCCTTGAAGAGTTATGATAAGCAATTGAGAAATAGAAGATATGGGATATTTGTGGTTTTATTTGTTCCTCTTTTTTTGATCTGCATTAGATGTATTGAGATATTTGGATTTATGTAGCTGCCATAACCTTGTCTATGCAGGAAGTCTTTCCTAACATTTTGTTTTGACACATTTGATGCCTTCAGAAGAGTATGGAGGCCTGTATATACTTCGCCTGGATTCATAAAGTTGTTACTTTGCTTCATCCTCCTCTCACTCTCTTTGCACATGAACACACACATTTTATTAGTTGAATGACATGAGACTAAGTTGCAGAAAATGTGACAGTTTACTCCAGTATTTCATCATACATCCCCTAGTGACAAGGTCATTCCCTTACATGAGTGTGATATAAGTTTAACAAGGATACAATACCATCGAATAAAATGCAGTCCATCATCAGAATTCCCCTTGTCCCAAGACTATTCTTTACAGCTCTTTCTTTTCTGATCTCAAATCCTCTCAAGGACCACACTGTAGTTGTAGTTATTGTGCATTGTGTGTCTTTAGTCACTTAATCTAGAAGCGTTCAGTAGCCTCTTTGTTTTGCTTTCTTTTGTTTATTTGAGACCTTGACATTGACATAGTTTGAGTCCAAGCCTTGTAGATTTCAACTTGTCTGATTATTTCATCTTGGTTAGAGTCATGATTAAATTGGTAGAAATGCTTCCTAAGTGATGTGACCTTTTCAGTGTATCCATCAGGAAGCTTATGATGTGACTATTACTGGCAACATTATGTTTGATTCCCTGATTAAGGAAGCATCTGCCAGATTTTTCCGTTGTAAAGGTACCTTTTGCTCTCCCTACATTTTCCTCCAAATGTAGGTAGCTTATCTGAGCAAGAAGAGCACGGGCTGTACTGGAGAGCAGAGGGAAGTGAGACAGTAAAGAAAAGACAATCCGTAGAACATGCATGGTCAAGCCAGTCACCACCAGTGGGCAACCAAACCTAAGTTCACTGGGGAACTCCTCCCAGCTCAGTATTCTCTCACAATGAGGTAAGAAATCTAGGGTCCTTAAACACCACCTCCAGTCAGTCACTGTTGGAGGGCTGCTCCCAGGGACATCAGTTCCCTGGCACTTCCAGCTTAGCATGAACAGGTACAAAATGGGCCCTGCATGCCGAAAAGGCCTTCAGGTAAAGAGATACAAATATTGGCATTTAGGAGGTAGGGCAGGGTGCACTATTGTGGTAAGAGCTAAAGGGATACTTAGCAGAGCCCCCATGGTATCTCTGTATCTGGGTACCCCAGAACCTAGAGCTTGAGGCAAAAGCTTATGGGCTATTATTTTTTTAGGAAGCAGAAGCAGGGAAAGGGGGATTGAGGAGAGAAGATTAAGTCAGTTCAAGAGTACATTTCCATGCTGGCCACTGCTTGGTAACAAGGTACAACTGACTGCTTGATTTCCTAAAGCTGTCTCTCAGGAGGATGTCTGAAGTACTGTATCCCAGGACAGTCTGTCTGAAGGAAGAAGAATTTCCCCCTCAGCTCTGAATCTCATTGGTAGAAGGTTTGCCCCTGGTATATTAACTCCCTCAGACTTTCAGGTTGTGCATGTATGGGCAACAAGTGGGCCCCACAGGTTCTCACACCTCAAAGGCAAGAGGGAGGCCAAGGGTGGGAGTGAAGGCATCCAGCAGGAGCAGGAAGTAAGGGGCCAGTGGTTGGACCCACATGCATTCAGTTAGAACTCAGGCGCGCTTGGTCCACCTAATGGCAGCCAGGGTAGAAAAAATGATCAAGGGCCTCAGAGACAGGCATGGTCGAGAAGATTTGAGGTGCAGGATAAGATATGCTTGACAGATTTGGATTCTACTTTTGTTTCACAAATATGCACAAACACATACACACATGAAACTTACATACAAACTTGGGGCAGCTGCGTGGCTCAGTTGGTTAAGTGTCCTATTCTTGGTTTCAGGTTGGGTCATGATCTCACAGTTTATGAGTTTGAGCCCCTCATCCGGCTCTGCGTTGTCAGCACAGAGCCTGCTTGAGATTCTCTCTCTCTTTTTCTCCCCTGCTCATGCTCTCTCTTTCCCTCAAAATAAATAAACTTAAGGGGCGCCTCGGTGGCTAGGTCAGTTAAATGTACAGCTTCAGCTCGGGTCATGATCTTGGGTTCGTCGGTTTGAGCCCTGCATTGGGCTCTGTGTTGACAGCTCAGAGCCTGGAGCCTGCTTCAGATTCTGTCTCCCTCTCTCTCTGTCCCTCCCCTGCTTACACTCTGTCTCTGCCTCTCTCTCAAAAATAAATAACTTAAAAAAAAATTTTAAACAACATACAAACTCAATCACATATAAAAAAAGTTATCCAGTGGGGATCCAGCCAAATTTTGCTTCCTTAGTTTTTGATAGATGTTTCTACAATAAAAATATTTTAATTTTATAGTGGGAAAGTGGTTGTGGACAGTTTAGAAAAGAAGGCAGTAAGTTTTTTTTCAAAGAAGTAACTGGAAAAAAAGAAAAATAATTCCATATTTTACTTTATGGGCAAGAACAAAGTTGTCCTTTTCTATGATAAGAGATTGAATTCTTTAAGATATTGTTTGGAAAAATAGCAAGTTGCTTTTGAAGTGTGAGAAGTGTAACTCTTGCCTTATGAAGTTAGTTTGTAAAGAATTAAAAACTAAGCTTTGCGTATCCTACATTATGTACTTCATTTTTCATTCATCTAGCCAGTCACTGATTTGATCACTTGCTGGACACTCCCTTTCAGGCCCTACAAGAGCAAGGTTCCATGCTAGTCACTGGGGTGCCAAGAAGAATCAAGAAGAACCTTCTGCCTTTTAGGGGTTCATATTGGAGTGGGAGAAAATGGATGCAGAAGAGCCCGTTCTCACCAAATATTCAGCCGTCTTACATTTCCCAGCCTCCACTGCAGTTAAACTGGGGCCTTGTGACAAGATCTGTCCAGTGAACTGTGACCAGAAGTGATGCATATCGCTTCTGGCCTAAGGCAGCTATGAACCAATGTGACTTTTCCAACTCTTTCTACCCCTGCAGTGATGACCTTGGAGGTCACATGTGGTAGATGACACAGCTACAGGACAGCCAGGACCACCAGACTCTTAGATCTTGCATGAAGGAGATATAAACCTTTATTGTGTTAAATTACTCTCCCTCCTTTTTAAAAATATATTTAGAGCACATGAGCGCACAAGCACAAGTGGGGCAGGGACAGAGAGAGAGAGGGAGAGAGAGAATCCTAAGCAGGCTCCACATTGTCAGCTCAGAGCCTAACTCGGGGGCTGGGTCCCAGATTGTGAGTTCATGGCCGGAGCTGAAATCTAGAGTTGGACACTTAACCAGCTGAGCCACCTAGGCACACTAACCTCCTTTTTTTTTTTAATTGTGGCAAAATGTACATAATATAGAATCTATCATTTTAACCATTAAAATTTTTAAAAAATGTTTATTTTTGAGAGAGAGAGAGAGACAGTGTGCAAGCAGGGGAAGGGCAGAGAGAGAGGGAGACACAGAATCTGAAGCAGCTCCAAACTCTGAGCTGTGAGCACAGAGTCCAACACAGAACATAGTTCCAGATGTGGGGCTCGAACTCACGGACTGTGAGGTCATGATCTGAGCTGAAGTTGGACACTTAACTAAGCTACCCAGATGCCCCTGTACTCCTTTGTTTTTAACAAACAAGTGGACAGGTGTTCATTTGAGACATTGTGAACATCCCCAACAACTTTTTAGTATCTAGTGATTTTTGCTGAATATAATTATTATCACCTCATTATAATATAAATTTATGAGGTTGATCTTATGAATATTCCCCTTTACAGATGAGGAAATTTGAGCACAGAGTTTGAGTAATTGCCCAATTTAAATAACTTACTGAGTAGAGCTGGATATTGAACCACATCTGATTCTAATGTTCAAAGCATTATTTATAGCAGGGGTTGGCACACTATGGCCTGTGGACCAAATCTTCCACCTCTTTTTGTAATAAAGTTTTATTAGGACACAACCATGACCGTTTGTTTACATATTATCTATAGCTGCTTTCACACTAAAATGCCAAGGTTGTATAGTTGTGACAGACCACATAGCCTGCAAGTCCTAAAATATTTAACTCTGTGGCACTTTACAGAAAAAATTTGCTGATCTCTGCTTTATAGAGTAGGTATTTAATTTAATTTTTTTTCTTTTTATTAAAATAATGTACATATATGGAAAATTAAATAGTGCTAAAAGTTTTACTTAAAAAATTTTAGGTTTATCTTTTTTTAAAAAATGTCTTATTTTATTTCTGAGAGAGAGAGAAACAGTGTGAGCAGGGGAGGGTCAGAGAGAGAGGGAGACCCACAACCTGAAGCAGGCTTCAGCTCTGAGCTGTCAGCACAGAGCCCAATGTGGGGCTTGAACACAAACCGTGAGATCATGACCTGAGCCAAAGTCAGACGGTTAACCAACTGAGCCACCCAAAAAAACCCTATTTATTTATCTTGAGAGAGAGAGCAAGGGTAATCAGGAGGGTCAGAGAGAGGCAGAGAGAATATTCCAAGCAGATTCTGCACTGTCAGCACAGAGCCCTATGTAGGGCTCAAACTCGTGAACTGTGAGATCATGACCTGAGCCAAGAGTCAGATGCTTAACCAACTGAGCCACCCAGGCGCCCCTAAAAGTTTTATTTTGAAAAAGGAGATCCCTACTCCACTGTTCTCCACCCCAGTCCCACCCCTTGGAGACAGATCCATTTTATTCTTTTAACTCTTTTTTCTGCCATTTACAGTTACATTAAATAAGATCTTCATTTCACTATTTCCTGCTGTAACAATTTTGAGTTTTGGTCTTTTTATTTTTTTATTAAATATTTTTTAGGGCATTCTCTCTCTCAAAAATAAATAAACATTAAATTTTTTTATGACAAAAATATTTATTTTTGAAAGAGAATGAGCAGGGAGGAGGGGCAGAGAGAGAGGGAGATACAGAATCTGAAGCAGGCTCCAGGCTCTGATCTGTCACTGCAGAGTGCACCATGGGGTTTAAACTCAGGAACCGTGAGATCATGACCTGTCCTGAGGTCGGATGCTCAACTGACTGGACCACTTAGGTGCCCCTATTTTTTTATTTTTTATTTTTGGAGAAAGAGAGGATGCAAATGGGGAAGAGAGAGAATCCTAAGCAGGATCCATGCTCAGCTTGAGCCTGATGTGGACCTCAATCCCACGACCTGGGACCATGACCCAAGCCAAAAGCAAAAGTTGGACACTTAACCTACTGAGCCACTGACATGCCCCTGATCTTTTTCTTTAAAAGTAAACTCTACCCCCAAACTGAGGCTTGAACTCAAGACCTTGAGATCCAGAGTCAAGTTCTCTACCAGCTGAGCCAGCCAGGCACATCATCTGTTTTAACAGATTGTGTGTGTATTTGTGTATGTTTCTTCACAATTTCTTCACATCCTTGCTAACCTTGGTTATTCATTGTCTTTTTTATTGTAACCATCCCAGTGTGTGTGAAGTGTTATTTTTTTTTTTTTTAATATTTTTATTTATTTCTAGGAGAGAGAGAGAGACAGCGTGAGCAGGGGAGGGTCAGAGAGAGAGGGAGACACAGACTCTGAAACAGGCTCCAGGCTCTGAGCTGGCAATCAGCACAGAGCCCGACGCGGGGCTCGAACCCACGAACCGCGAGATCATGACCTAAGCGAAAGTCGGACGCTTAACCGACTGAGCCACCCAGGCGCCCCGAAGTGTTATTTTTTTAAGTTTTTGTTTTTAATTCTATTTAGTTAACAGAAGGTGTAATATTAGTTTCAGGTGTGCAACATCATAATTGGGTTCTAACAATTTTAGACACTAATTATTAACTAATCTAGTTAGGCCACTCTTTTTTAGTGCTAGATTATAAATAATAATATTCTTTACTGGAATATAAGTTTTATGATTATTTAAAATTTTTTTGATGTTTATTTTTTAAAGTTTATTTATTTATTTTTGAGAGGGACAGAGAGAGCACAAGTAGGAGAGGGGGAGAGACCGGGGAACAGAGGATCTGAAGCAGGCTCTGTGCTGACAGCAGAGAGCCCGATGCCGGGCTTAAACCCACTAAGTGCAAGATCATGACCTGAGCCACCCCAGGCACCCCAATTTTTATTTATTTTTGAGACAGAGTGTGAGTGGGGGAGGGGCAGAGAGAGATTGGAATCTGAAGCAGGCTCCAGGCTCAGATCTGTCTGCACAGAGCCCGACCTGAGGCTCAAACTCACAAGCGGTGAGATCATGACCTGAGCTGAAACCTGACGCTTAATCGACTGAGCCACCCAGGTGCCCTGATTTTATGATTGTTTACATAGTTTTTTGCATTTTCATCATACTGTATGTAAGAAAATGGACATGCACCTATCCATAGCCAACATGTATTTAGTACTTCATGTGGCACTATTCTAATGCAGGTTTCATGCAGCATCATGTTAATCTCTACGGAACCCGTAGGAAATGATGGTATTATTATGGCCATTTTCTAGATGAAAAAACATTGTTTAGAGAGATTATGTGATTTTTCCCATGGTCAAGCACCCAGTGGGTAATAGAAGCAGAGGCTGACACTTAGAACTTAAGCCCTTAAATATTGTATTCTAATGCCATATGGAGAGTCCTACTACTTGATATTCCTAGATTTGTAGTTTTACTGTCAGCAAATAACCTAAAGACTACAACAGGTAAGTTTGCTGAGGCACAAGCCTTTTTTTTTTCCCCCCAAGTACTGTTTATTTTGCACACGCCCACAGCAAATTTGCACTGAGTAACTTTATTTTACAATAGAAAGTCAGGGTTAGATGATGCCAAGAAGAGTGACATGCAGAAAAGAACAGGAAGGCAAACATCAGGAGCAAATAATCTTTAATTTTTTTTTTTAACAAATACACCAAAGAATCTTGCAATGCTGCCAGCATTGGATGCAATCCTGGGCTACCAGTCTGTACACCCCTTTGCAACTGGTCCTGTGATAGCAGAACCTTTCATTTCACCTTTATTGTTTTCAGTGACCCCTGTGTTACCTTCAGAATAGAAAAACATACCATCTTTTCTCTGGCAGGACTTTCATTATCCAGTTATCACTGCTGGATGTACCTTCTTTCTGGCCTCAGGTTTGCCTTTCTTCACTGTGGCCGTCACCATGTCACCCACACCAGCAGCAGGACATGTATTCAGTACCTTATCCCCTTTACAGAGATGATACACAGGCTTTTGGCTCCCGTGTGGTCAGCACAGTGGCTCAGGCCTCCTATCGGAAGACCTAGGGAAAATGGGAATTTCATACCGGCGGACTCCACACATTTCTCACTTCTGCATCTGGACTATCAGGGACAGAAAGGCTGAGATGCAACTTTGAATCTGTTTGATTTGTGACAGGTATGGGGTAGTTAGGTAGTGGGAGGGTCATTCTGTTTTGTAGTGGACTATAAACATTTGCCTGGTCTCAGTCTAATGCATTGGCTCAAACTCGAGCGCACATCAGAATCCCCCAGTGGGCACGCACTGACTCCTGGGCCTCCTCTCTAGTTTCTGATCCAGTATGTCTAGGGTAGGATCTGAGGATTCGCACTTCCAAGTTCCCCAGTGATGCTGATGCCGTAAGGGACCTGACTGGTCTAATGCCGTACTTTTCCTGAAAGGTAGGGTCCTCTGTACTGCCTTCTCTTGCTCTTTAATTTTCCGATCTATCAGTCTCCTCCTACCAGCTAGCTTGTTAGTTCCTGGGAAGCAGTTCAGTTATTGTGGCTTCTATTTCTATTTTGTAATTTTGGCTCTTTCCATTATAAATATTGTAATTATAATACATTCTAATTATAAAATTCACTTAAAATATTTTTTAATGTTTATTTTTGAGAGAGAGAAGAGTGTGTGTGCAAATGGGGGAGGGGCAGTCAGGGGGGAGGTGGAGATCTGAAGCAGGCTCTGCAGTGTCAGCACAGAGCCCCATGTGGGGTTCCAACTCATGAACCATGAGATCATGATCTGAACTGAAGGTAAACATTTAACCAACTGAGCCACCCAGATGCCCCTAAAAATCACCTTTTGCTAGCAGCACCATCACCCTTGCAAGAAGAAATTTTTTTTAAAGTAGGCTACACTCCCATCATGGGGCTTGAAATCATGACCCGGAGATCAAGAGTTGCATGCTCTAGTGAGTTGCAGCCAGCCAGGCAGGTGCCCTGACCCCAGCAAAAATTCTAACGGAAAGATAGAAGTGGACACTAAAGGATCTTCAGTGACACGTTGGATGATAGCACTGAGGAACTTAGTCCTTGATTGGGCAGTGCTTATAAAAAACTGTAAAGTAAATAAAGTGATTTGCAGGATACTGCATCTGAATGCTTTAATCTGATTTTAGTAGAGGCTCTTGTCTTTTACATTTAGCATTCTCTGAGATCTTTTTTAATCTTCTGTTTTTGTAGAGGTCCCCCAGAGTCAACATGGCCGGGACTGAGGAGGCGATTCTCGGAGGCTGTGGCAGCCATCTTTCTGCTGGTGGCGACTCGGTGTTATGCTTTGGACAGGTAACTGTGTTTTCTCCCGTGCCTAGAAAGAACGAGGTGAAGTGAAAACGTATGAGAAAGTAACTTGCAGAGCACTGTCACACATGTGGGTGCCATTTACTGTCAGTGGTTTTTTCCTTTAGCTGCATTACTCGGGAGTCTGATGAACTCTCAGGGCATTTTGGAATTTTAGCACCAAAAGACTAATGGTTCTGGAGATTAGATTTACAGTGTGTTTATTTTTTTGGATAGACTCCATATAGTTTAACATTTCAAAATGGAACGTAGACTACACGTGAATGACAAGTCTCACTATTTCCTCGCCACTCCTGTTCCCTTTTTGGAGGCCTCCAGAGTTTCTGGTGTCATATTCTCTGTGGAGATGTGCTGTGCACGTAAAAGAGATTCTTGTTGGGGCGCCTGGGGAGCTCAGTCAGTTAAGTGTCTGACTTCATCTCAGGTCATGATCTCACGGTTCGTGGGTTTGAGCCCCGCGTCAAGTTCTGTGCTGACAGCTCGGAGCCTGGAGCCTGCTTCGGATTCTGTGTCTCTTTCTCTCTCTGCCTCTCCACCATCTGCACTCTGTCTCTTTTGGTCTCTCAAAAATAAATAAATGTAAAAAAAAATTTTTTTAAATAAGATTCTTGCTTTGTCCCCTCAAATTTTATCTTTGTCTTTACCAGAGATCTGTTTATGAGCATTTATAAGTGAAATAAAGCAGAGAACTGCCAAGGGGACACAAATCAAAACAAGTAGTAGTATATTATCTGTGTGTATGATGGAAAATAATGGTTGGATTCAAGAAGAGGTATAAAATGTTGGAGAGGACGGTAGATTTCCCCTACTCCCTTGCGGGCATAAATGTCATATGCAGACCCTGAGGCGGGACACTTCCGATTACCAATTCTGACTTGAGAATGTTTTGTGAGGATGGTAGTAACACCTAAGGAAGTGGCTCTCAAAATGTAGTCTAGTGACCCCTGAGGGTCCACAAGACCTTTTCAGAGTCCATGCGGTCAAAATGATTTCCAGAATAACACTGACATACCACTTGCCGTTTCTACTCGTTCTCTCGTGAGCGATTGAACAGTGGGGCTTTCCAGGGAATACACAGCATGTGATGACGCTGCCTTGACGGCTGATGGAAGATGTGCCTTAAGAGTTTCTCAGTTTTCATTCCTGATATTCATAGATATAATCCACATAAACAAAAAAATCTTAGGATCCTCAGTAATTTTTAAGAGTATAAAATGGTCTGGAGACCAAAACAGTTGGAGACTTGCTGACACGAGGAAGGGAGGAAACGTCAACTTAATTTTTCCTTTCTGGTTTGCAGTGTCAGTACACAGCAGAAGAGTATCAGGCCATCCAGAAAGCTCTGAGGCAGAGGCTGGGTCCGGAATATATCAGCAGCCGAATGGCTGGAGGAGGCCAAAGGGTAGGAGAGTTTATATGCTTGAGAAGTGGGTGCCCATATAGCTGGCTACTTGAATCATCTCGCCAGCTCCCTCTCTGGCTCCTCATGGATTCAGAAGGTCTCCTGCTTGCTGTTACTAGATGTTTCTGAGTGTCGTTGGGAGGGGTTGGGTTCCAGCCTTCATTATCATCTGAGGTGACCCAAGTTTTGTCTTGAGACTTCCATACCTGCCATCTTGGGGTTTTTATACCATCTTTTAAAAATGTTTCTTTTGCCATCTGCTACTAATTGTAACTTCTGTGTATATTTTTGGTCTTCTATAATATATGTCAACCTGAGACTTGTACATTTTTGGAAACTGCTAGGTGAGTGGATTTCCTCTCTGAGTCTAGCCCCTCCCCTCAGACAAAACATTAGTTCTAACTGGTTTCTTCAGGAAGATCTTTGAAGTAAGTTCACTGAGAATTTCCCTGGAACGTTTAAGGGCAGTTTTGCCAAAAAAGCTGGTAAGGAGTAAATTAGGTAAATTTTGATTCATATTTAAGTACGGTAAGGAATTTTAACAAGCCCCTTCCCCCCCCCCCCCCCAATTTCTTTTTCCAGGTCTGTTACATTGAGGGCCACAGGGTGATTAATCTGGCCAATGAGATGTTTGGTTACAATGGCTGGGCGCACTCCATCACACAGCAGAATGTGGGTGAGTGTGTTTCCTGGCCGCGGCGACGTCTTTCCCTTACTTTGGCGCTCATTTCTGCTGCGAGTACTTTGTGGGTGAGGCTGTAGGGTAGGAGTGTTTGGTTGCCAGAAGAGGAATGTGGGGGAGGCGCAGGGATCAGAATCCTCTTCAGCTCGTTCTCTTTCGCACTCCTAGATTTTGTTGACCTTAACAATGGCAAGTTCTACGTGGGAGTCTGTGCATTTGTGAGAGTCCAGTTGAAGGTGAGGGTGATGGAGGAGACCTGCTCCTCCGAGGACTGGGTGGGTGGTGAGACAGAATGAGCAGGTAGAGAATCCTCTGGACTGTGGCACAGCCAGTGTTCTCTAGGATGGTGGTACCCAAAGGTTCTTACCCGTGTGCCCCCTACATGAAGTGTGAAAAACTCTTATTTTCTTGCACATTTTAAGTTTACACCTAAAACTTTTCACTGGAAGTATGAATACAGGTCCCCTGGTGTTCAAAAGTTTGGGCCACACCACTTTGTGTTTATGGAAGACCTACACTGGTGCCTGTTTTTGCTGAACTGAAATGAATACAAAGAGGATTTTCACTTTTATGACAAAAGGTGAACCCTGGCAGCAAGAGTGGCCCTGCTAAGCTCCTCAGTATCAAGCTTCCGAGGCTTTGAACTAGATCTGTGAGCAAATGTGCTTTATTTTGATTTTGTGCTTCCACTAGCAAGATGTGGCCTGATGTATCAGAGAGGCCTAACAGAGGTCATATTTATTTGTTTATTTATTTATTTACTTATTTACTTGTTTGTTTTGTGTGGGGGAGGGGCAGAGAGAGAGGGACAATCCTGAACAGGATCCCCACTGTCAGCACAGAGTCCAATGCAGAGCTTGAACTCACAAAACTGTGAGATCATGACCTGAGCTGAAATCAAGGGGTCAGATGCTTAACTGACTGAGCCACCCAGGGGCCACAAAAGAGGTTAGTTTTTGGATATGGGAATGCTCAAAAATTTTTCCATATAAATTAATGGTACGTCTTTGCTTTATGCTATTTTGGCTAATGAAAGCGTTCATAAGATTGTTTTACTTTTGGGTAGTGGGGGAAAGCTCTAGTTGCAAGGGTATATTTTTTGGCATATTGTAAAATTTGACATTGATTTTATTTTTAATGTTTATTTTTGAGACAGAGTGTGCACATGAGTTGGGGAGGGGCAGAGAGAGAGAGAGGGAGAGAGAGAGAGAGAGAGAAAATCCCAAGCAGGTTCTACACTGTCATGGAGATCCTGACGTGATTCTGACGTGAGGCTTGATTATCACAAACTGTGAGATCATGACTGGAGCCTAAATCAAGAGTCAGACACTTAACCAGCTGAGCTCCCCAGGCTCTCCCAAATTTGACATTCTAAAATAAATCTGTGCATCTCTTTCTTCCTTTGTTTATTCAAGTATGGTTAACATACAGGGCTATGTTAGTTCCAGGTGTGCAGTAGAGTGATTCAGCAATTCTGTACATCTCCTGGCTCATCAGGATAAGTGTACGCTTAATCTCCTTTATCTGTTCCTCCCATCTTTTTTTGTTGCATCATTTTTAAACGTACCAATGGATTTTAAGTAACAGACAAATACTGTCATCCATTTAAAAAAACACATGAGCAAGCTATTCTTTAACCATGAGAAAATTTTACATGGTTCTTCTTGAACTCATATTTCTATTCTGTTTCACCACTGGCTTTATTCTAATATAATATCTCGATATGTTTGGAATGTATATGTTTGGAACCTTATTAATAACATTAACATATTCCTCTCTGTGTGTATTCATGTGTATATAAAAGTAATTTGGGGGGTAAATTTTCAGTGATCTAAGGGCTTTAAATTATATAAAATTTGGGGCCCCTGGGTGGCTCAGTTTGTTGAGTGTCCAACTTTGGCTCAAGTCATGATCTTGCGGTTCATGGGTTCAAGCCCTGTGTCAGGCTCTGTGCTGACAGCTCAGAGCCCGGAGCCTGCTTTGGATCCTGTGTCTCCCTCTCTCTCTCTCTCTCTCTTCTGCTCATGCTCTGCCTCTCTCTGCCTCTCAAAAATGCATAAATGTTAAGAAAAAAAGAAAAATAAATGATACAAAATTTCTTCTGGATTGAGTTACTATTAGAGGTATTATTAACACACAATTGATCAGTCAGTTGTGTCTGTGAGGGAGACTACATAACTACGTCAATACTTAATAAAATAAATTTTTGTGGAAAATGCATTTTTTAATGAGACGGATGAGGCTTTGTTTTCTTTTTGGGTAGTTTATATATCCATAGTTTGTTTTTTAAATTAAATTAAAAACTTTTAATATAGCCACAGTTTAATGTTACTTTTTCCTAGACAGCCCATTCAACATTATTAATTCTGTTCTAACTTCTTATTTTTATAAATAGTACTGAAAAACCTTACTCACATAAATAAACTGGGAATGGAGAGAGTTTTGTTATAGTGTCACTCAATTCTTTGAATTAACTTTCTGAGTTATATAAAAAATCACAGAGTGCGGGGCACCTGGGTGACTCAGTTGGTTAAGCAACCGACTTCGGCTCAGGACATGATCTGACTGTTCCCAAGTTTGAACTCCGTGTCAGGCTCTGTGCTGACAGCTCGGACCCTGGAGCCTATTTTGGATTCTATGTCTTCCTCTCTTTCTCTGCCCCTCCCCTGCTCACACACACACTCTCTCTCTCTCTCTCAAAAATAAACATTAAAAAAAAAATCACAGTGCTATTATCTAAAATTATATTTGGTTCTCTATCAGCTATTAACTCAGTCAGGTCTCCCTTCACTTCTGGTGAAAGCCAGAAATGGATACCACCTGACTCGTGAAAAGATTTGCTACCCAATCATTAGAGTCTGTTAAATACAATATTTGACATTTTCCTTTTGTTTAGTGTCCCAGAAGTTTTTATATCTTGGGGTCATGCACCATAGTGAGATTTAGGGTGGGTTAGCTGTGTGCCTTTTTTAAGTAAAAGAGGAGGTGGGAATGGAGAATTGTCTTGCACATTTCCCAGCAGATCAGGTCAAGGACATAGTGCTGGAAATTAATTCTCTTACAGTTCTTGCTGCCCATCCATGTGCCCTTTAGCAAGGCCCCTGGGTTCTATGTGCCCAGCGTGAGCGCCTTTGAGGGCGAGAAGAGCTGTTTGACCAGGTACACACGACTGCAGCTCTTCACGTTGGGCCCTTCCCCCCGCAGGACGGCTCCTATCACGAAGATGTGGGCTATGGGGTCAGTGAGGGCCTCAAGTCAAAAGCCTTGTCTCTGGAGAAGGCAAGGAAGGAAGCGGTGACAGATGGCCTGAAGCGGGCGCTGAGGTAAGCAAAGGCTAGAGGCTAACCTGCTTCATTTCGACTCTTGTTTCAGAGCAGTTTTGTTTTTAGTTTGTTTAGAACGTAATATGTCCCCTTGGTACAAAAATCAAAATAACCTGAGTCTCACTGCCCTCCCCGTCCCTCTCAGCTGTTTCCTGTTCTCTTGTGTTGTCCTCCGTGCTGCTTTGTGCTTAGTCAGCGTCCCCTCTCGGGAACACGTAGTAGAATACTTTACGTTCTGTTCTGTGCTCGGTTTTGCACACCCCCTGCCTCAGTCATGGATCAGAGACCTTTCCACGAGTACAGAGACAGCTTCCCCATTAAGCAGGTTTTCGTTGTGTATGTACAGCTTTGTTACATAGAACAGGGTATTGTGCCTTTCTTCTGGGGCATACGTGGCCTTTGGGGATTGAAGTGAATTGAATCACTAGAAAAACACTCATATGAATGAACATCCACTACAGACTTGCAGTACATAACCTGGGGGCGAGGCCAGGCATCCTGAGGAAAGAGCTTCCATCAGGGAGGGTTGTGCCCTAAGTGTGCGTGGCCCACTGTTGCTGGGGACCTGGAGCAGTCCTTGGAAGAAATCTCTGCTCTGGAATTGGTGCTCCACAGCAGGAGGTAGCTAGGGGGTCTTTTCATAGTCCTTGCCTCTTGCTGAGGGCGGGGATGGGTGACTGTTATGCCCAGTGTTCTGAGAGCCTAAAACTAAAGCAGTGAACGAAGGTGGTGGGTGCTCCGTAAGCATTTTTGGGATGTTCTCTGCCACAGTTGAGAAGCCACTTGCACAGAGATTCTGACTCTGTGCTCTGGTATTTACATGTAATAATTCTCAACCTGTTCACTCTTTTTTTTTCCTTACCCTTAGAAGTTTTGGGAATGCGCTTGGAAATTGTATTCTGGACAAAGACTATCTGAGGTCACTAAATAAGCTTCCGCGCCAGGTATGTTAGAAACGGATGAGTGGAACGCATTGCAGTAAAGATATTACTAATTGCCTTGCGTCATGGGTGAGTGTTGGGGATGGAGAGAGAAGGGGAGACTCAGCCCTTTATAAAGTTTACCATTTTAGTCATTTTTAAGTGTGCAGTTCCCTGATGAAACACATCTTAATCTTGAGATACTGCAACTCTATACCCATAACACAGCCCCCCTTTCCGCCCCTTCTCATAGCCCCTGCTCACCACGTTCCACTTACTGGTCCTATGAATTTGACCACCTTCGATGCCTCCTGTAAGTGGAGTCCTGCTGTTTTGTTTTTTGTGACTGACTTATTTCATTTAGCATAATGTCCTCGAGTTTCATCTATGTTGTGGCCTGTATCAGAATACCTTCCTTTTTATGGGGCACCTGGCTGGCTCAGTCTGTAGAAAGTGTGACTCTTGATCACAGGTTGTGAGTTGGAGCCCTGCGTTGGGTGTAGAGATTATTTAAAAATAATTAAAAAAAAAAAGCGGGGGAGGGGCTCTGGGAGGCTTAGTTGAGCGTTTGACTCTTGATTTCGGCTCAGATCGTGATCTCATGGTTCATGGGATCCCACATTGAGCTCTGTGTTGACAGCATGGAGCCTGCTTGGGGATTCTCTCTCTCCCTCTCTCTCTGTCCCTACCCCATGTGTTCTCTTTCTCAGAATAAATAAACATTAAAAAAAAAAAAGAATCACCTTCCTTTTTAAGGCTGAATAATATTCTGCTGTTATGTATATACCACATTTGCTTTATTCCTTTTTCCATCAGTGGACATTTGGGTGGCTTGTATCTCTTGTGAATAGTGCTGCTATGAATGTGGGTGTGCAAATACTACTTCAAAGACCCTGCTTTCTGTTATTTTGGATACATAGCCAGAGGTGGGGTTGCTAGATCATATGGTAGTTTTTTGTAGAACTTCAACACTGTTTTTCTATAATGGCCACACCATTTTGTAGTTCAACCAATAGGCACAAGTGTCCCAGTTTCTCTACATCCTCACCAACACTTGTTATTTTCAATTTTTAAAAAAATATTTTTTAATGTCTACTTATTTTTGAGAGAGAGAAAGAGAGAGAGAAGGAGCGGGGGAGGGGCAGAGAGAGAGGGAGACATAGAATCTGAAGCAGGCACCAGGCTCTGAGCTGTCAGCACACAGCCTGATGTAGGGCGTGAACTCACGAATGGTAAGATCATGACCTGAGCCGAAGTCGGCTGCTCAATTGACTGAGCCACTCACTCCGTTCCGGCCTGTAAGAGGAATGTAATAATCTTGTGGATGCTCTCTTTTATGTGATGATTTGTTTTTCTCTTGCTGCTTCCAGGATTTCTCTGTCTTTGACTTTTTAAAAATTGAGATATAAGTGATACATAACATTATTTTAGTTTCAGGTTGTACAGCACGATAATTTGCTATTTGTATATGTTATAAAATGATCAACATAAGTCTAGTTAACATCCATCACCATACCTAGTTGCACATTTTTTGTGATAAGTTTTGAGATTTACTTTTAGCAACTTTCAGATATACAATACAATGTTATTAGCTACAGTCACTATGCTGTTCCATTACATTCCCATGACTTTTTATATAACTAGAGGTTTGTACTTTTTGACCCCCTTCACTCACTTTGCCTATTACCTTCTGCTTCCCTGGCAACCACCAGTCTGTTCTCTGTACCTATGAGCTTTTTTTTTCTTGCAGATTCCACATAGAAGTGAGATACGGTGTTTGCCTTTCTCTATCTGACTCATTCCACTTAGCATAATGCCCTCGAGGTGCATCCATGTTGTGGCAAATAGCAAGATTTCCTTCATTATGGCTGAGTAATATTCCATTGTATATGTACTACATTTTCTTTGTGGATGGACCCTTAGGTTATTTCCATTACTTTGGCTACTGTAAGTAACACTGTAGTGAACATGGTGTCCAGATGTCTTTTGAGTTAGCGTTTTTGTTTTATTTGGATAAATATCCAGAAGTGGACTTGATGAATCACATGGTAGTTCTATTTTTAATTTTTAAAAAAATATTTATTTATTTTTGAGAGAGAGAGAGAGCATCAGCAGGGGAGGGGCAGAGAGAGAGGAAGACACAGAATCTGAAACAGGCTCCAACCTCTGAGCTGTCAGCACAGAGCCCAACTCGGGGCCCGAACTAACAACCCAGGAGATCATGACCTGAGCCAAAGTTGGAGGCTCAACCAACTGAGCGACCCAGGTGCCCTTTTTTAAAAATTTTGAGGAACTTCCATATTGTTTTCCACAGTGGCCGCACCAGTTTTCATTCCCACCAATGGTGCACAAGGGTTCACCTTTCTCCTCATCCTTGCCAACACGTTGTTTTTTTTGATAATAGCCACTCTGACGGAGGTGAGGTGATATCTCATTGTGGTTTTGATTTGTATTTGCCTGATGCTGAGTGATGTTGAGCATCTTTCCATGTGTCTGTTGACCATCTGTGTCTTCTTTGGAAAAATGTCTATTTAGATCCTATGCCCATTTTTTAATTGGATCGTTTATTTTTTTGCTATTGAGTTCCTTACACATATTGGATGTTAACTCCGTATTGGTTATATCAGTTACAAACATTTTCACCCATCCAGTAGGTTATCTTCTCATGTCGACAGTTTCTGCTTGCTGTACAGAAGCATTGTAGTTTGACGTAGTTCTGCCTATTTATTTTTGCTTTGTCGCCTTTGCTTTGGTGTCACATTCAAAAAGTCATCACCAAAACCAGTGTTAAGGAGTTTATCACCCGTGTTTTCTTCTAGGCGTTTTCTGGTTGCAGGTCTTATACTCCTGTGTGTGCTTCATTCTGAGTATATTTGTGTATTGTGTCAGACAGTGGTCTGGTTTCATTTGCATGTGCTGTCCATTTTTCCAACACCATTTATTGAAGAGACTGTCCTTTCTACATTGTACATTCTTGGCATCTTTGTCATAAATTTGTTGATCATATAAATATGGGCTCATTTCTGAGCTCTCCTTTTCCATTGCTCTATATGTCTTTATGCAAATACCATAGTGTTTTGGTTACTATAGCTTTGTAATATAGTTTGAAATCAGGTAGCATGATGCCTCCAGCTTTGTTCTCAAGATTGCTTTGGCTATTTGGGGTCTATTGTAGTTCCATACAAACGTTAGGATTGTTTGTTCTATTTCTGTGGAAAATACCATTGGAATTTTGATAGGGATTGATTGAATGTGTAGATTGTTTTGGGTTGTTTGGGCATTTTAACAATACTAATTCTTCTAACCCATAGCGTGGGATACCTTTCCATTTGCTCTTCAGTTTCCTTCATTAGTGTCTTATAGTTTTCAGTGTACAGGTCTTTTACCTCCTTGGTTCATTTATTGCTAAGTATTTTATTTTATTTTTTTGATGTAATCGGAAATGGGTTTGTTTTCTTAATTTCTCTTTCTGGTAGTTTGTAATTAGTGTGTTGTCTTTGACTTTTGGCAGTTTGATTATAATGTGTTTTGGTGTGTTTAGTGTTTTGGGCTTATTGAATTTATACATCTTCTCTTCCCTCAGATTTTGGAAGTTTTGGGCCCATTATTTCTTCAGATAATCTCTCTGCCCCCTTCTCTTTCTCTTCTTCTGAGATTCTTGTAATATATAGTGTGACAAGTGTCCAATAGGCCCCTAAGCTAGGTCATATTTCTTCATTCTTCCTTCTGTTTGCTTCTCTGAGGAGATGATTTCAAATGACCTGTCTTTCATATTGGCTGATTCTTTCCTCTGTCAGATGAAGTTTGCTGTAGAACCCCTTCACTGAATTTTTTAGCTGTTACTGTATTTTTCAGCTCTGGAACTTGTTAGCTGCTATTTAATAGTTTTTCTTTGTTGATATTCTCATTTAATCCATGCATCATTTTCCTGATTTCATTCAGCTGGACTGTTCTCTTTTAGCTGATTGAGCTAAATTTATGATAATTGTTTTAAATTCTTTGTTAGGCAGTTCATAGATTGTATTTTCTTTTAGGGTCTGTTTTTGGAGTTCTATTTTGTTACTTTGTTTGGGCCACAGTTCCCTGTTTCTTTAAATGCCTTTGATATTTTGTTGAGATGTGGCATTTAAGGAAAAAAAAAAAAACACGTGCCCCAGTCTTTATGTACTGGGTTTTGTGCAGGGAAGAACTTTACCAGTCAGCCCAGCTAGACGTTCTAGGACCTCTCAAACCTTTTATGATCTCCTTCTCCTCCTGGCATTTGACTGCATAACCGCGGCTGCTACATGTTCTAGTGCTTTAGTGGCTTTCAAACTCTGTTGCCGGTTCCATCATCGTGCTGAGTCAGGTGAGGCAGAAAACAGTACTGTAGGCAGCTCCAGACAAGCCACAACATTGGATGCACAGTCTACTCCTTTGTTTCTTCCTGGGGGAAGAGCTCAGTGTGAGGTTTCCTCCTGGCTGTGCTGCTCTCTGCTGGGCACGTGCAGGGGCACAAGTGGCCACGCAAAATGCCAGGAGTGTTTCAGCCCCTTTTGCTGGAATCTTGTCTTGGTTTTATGTTGGCTTGGCTTTAAGTAATCTCTATCCTGGCGGGGAACTCAAACTCATGACCCCAAGATCCAGAGTTGCACCTTCCAGCTACCAAGGCTGCCACGTGCCCCAAGCTCATTTGTTTTTAACCTACTCATTTACTTTCCAATGTAGATAAGAAATTTCATAATGTAATGTTCATTTTCAGGTTACTTATTAAAAATTTTACTTATTTTTTTTTTGAGAGAGAAAGAATCCTAAGCAGGCTCCACAGTCAGCATATTGCCTGATGCAGGGCTCAATTTCATGATCATGAGATTATGACTTGAGCTGAAATCAAGAGTCAGTCGCTTAACTGACCGAGCCACCGAGGTGCCCCTCAGGTTACCTTTATTGAAATTAACATCAATGTGAATCAAGACAGTTCTCCCAAGTGAAAAGCTCTGCGTTTCCGTAGTGCTCAGGGCCTGGAAGTAGAACATTTTGCCAAATGCCACAAAGTATGGTTTCTCATATTTGGTGAGATGCGGGGACGACCCTAAGTTGGGAGATGTCAGTGTTTTGCAAGTCTTCTTCCTCCTGTCATTTGAAGGATCTTAGTTGTGCTGCAGCAACCTGAGGCTTCTTCAGGAGGAGTGTGGTACTTCGGGGGAAGCCCTGGAAGAAAGGCCAGAGAAAGTACAGGCCTCCACAGAGAGTATGTGTGATCAGTTCCATGGAAAAGGGATAAAACGCAGACAGCAGCAGACAGATCCAGCTGCCCACGAAAGATTCAAATTAGGGTTTATAGAACATTTGCCTCGAATCATAAAGTAAGATTCCTCTTTACCAAAACTTGATTGGTACAGAATGGTAGAAAGTAGAAAATGAAGGTTTTTTTTTTTTTACTTCGCCTCTATAATTAGAAACATTAGTTGAAGTGTGGATCAAAGTGTGGATCCTTTGTCTCAGCTCCTCAGCACCTAGAGGGCACAATGGATAGAGGATTGTCAGATACCATGTTCCAGGAGTCTAGATCTTGAAGGCAGGGAAAAGGAAGGGGAAGTGCAATTGGAAGAAGTGATTTACCCCTTTTCTTCCCTTATTAGTTGCCTATTGAAGTGGATTTAACTAAAGCAAAGAGACAAGACTTTGAACCATCTGTGGAACAAGCGAGATACAGCAGCTGCCGGCAGAATAGGACCCTGGGGCCCCCAAAACCACAGGAGGTGACCTCCCCTTGCAAACCAAGCCGCTCGGATGACCCCCACGTTGTGGTCCAGGAAGACAAGCCCGGCAGCTCCCGGTACGAGGCCTCAGTTCCCTCTCTCTCCTCCTCATGGTCTCCAGGACCTCCATTTTCACCCCCTGAGCCAGCAGAGTGGTCTGTGCCCCCCTCAGGGACAGGGTATCGTTTCCTTGGGTAACTCAGCCCAGCCTTCTTGCTCTTCTGATGCAGAAGTCTGGCCCCAGCCACGGAGAGCGAGGCCACGTACCAGCGGAAGCTCCGGCAGAAACAGCTGCAGCAGCAGTTCCGGGAGCAAATGGAGAAGCAGCAGGGGCAACGCTCTGCCCCATCAGTGGAGAAGAATCAGGGTGTGTGAGGAGGATGAGAGCCGAGGCCCTGGGGGGGTGTCCTGAGGGACGAGCCTGAGCCGCTGCCGGAATGTACGGTTCCGTCCAGCCCGGGACTCAGCAGGACTCCAGGTCAGGAGAGAGAAGTCCAAGCAGTGAAGGTCGTGAAATCCTGCCACGCATTTCCCCATTTTGAAAGACGCCCCCATCAGTTTTCAGGGAAGGAAAGGGGCCTTGAGATAATCTAGAACTGGGAATTTTAGGGCACATAACTTTTCTTTCCCTTTCAGTTACTTTGGCCACCTCCGTATTAGAAAGCTTTTCTGAGTCGTCTGTGAACATAAGGCTAAACTGTTTGAAGAGAATGGTCTTTCCCAGAGAGTAGAACCAAAGAACGGGCTCATCCCAGACAACTGGCGAGTTGCTTGAGGAGAAGTCAACCTTGCTTTCTCCCCAGTTTAGTGAGAAGACGAGAATAGTGTTTAGCCTCGTGTAGATCTGCACACAGGGAGGGATGGGATCGGTCTCCCACCGACTGTGTGTGAGCCGGCGTTAACTCTAGGCAGCTTTGCACTTCTGAGGTGCTGCCTCCAACAACTGAGTGATTCTCTGATTTTGTCCCCCCCCCATCCTCCCCACGTGAACCGTAGCGGCACCACCAGCACTTCCTGTGAAGCACAGCACTCCCGTAACTGCTGTTTCTACACCAGTCACGGAGGACTTCCTCACAGGTGTGTAGGGGCTAAAGGAATGACTTACGTACTATTATTTTTTAATGTTTATTTTTGAGAGAGGGAGGGAGAGACGGAATGTGAGCGAGGGAGGGGCAGAGAGAGAGGGAGACACAGAGTCGGAAGCAGGCTCCAGGCTCTGAGCTGTCAGCACAGAGCCAGACGTTGGGCTTGAACCCACGAACCGTGAGATCGTGACCTGAGCCGATGTTTGTTGTGTGCCTACCAAGCCACCCGGGCGGCCCAGTATAGGTGCTTATTAAATGAAACCTATGAAACGCACTTTCGGCAGTCGCTGGTACATTTTGAGAGAGACAGAAAAATCCCCAAGTTTGAGAAAAAGAGAGGACCTGTAATGGACGGAAGGCAGTTCTGACAGCACACACTCGGCTCCTCTGTCGTCCTCACAGAAACGCTGGCACACCTCCAGGGGCAGGGGAGGGAGAAATTCCAAAAGCCGTCCTGTCCGCTCACGACCTGGAATTCCTTACGATGCTTCTCCCAGTGCTCTGTGAGAACACTTCTTTGTTGATGCCGCATTTTCCCACCATGTCCGTCCTTGCAGACAGCCTTGGAATGTGGGACGTGGGTCCAGACGCAGGGGACAGTGACGTGAAGCTCTCGTCTAGGCCAGACCCACCCCAGACCTCTGCCACACCAGTCCTGAAGAACCAGGTGGTGACCTGGGACGGGACCCCACAGGACCTCTGCCGCCAGGATCCACAAGCAAAATCCGGACCCTGGCGCCTCCCGACCCACGGCAGCCACCAAGACCTCACAGGTAGCAAAAGCGTTTAGCAGCGGAAATCAGAGGGAGAACTTGGGTTAATTCTGTGCATTTTAAAGAATGACATTGCATTTTAAGAAATTCATCGTGCCAGAGGAATAGCAGTGTAAATGATAACTGGTTCGTGAGCTAGAACTTGTCCTCTGGGGCCCCGACTTGAGGTGTAAACCCTTAGAACCCTTGCTAGTAACAGGCAGCGTAGGCAGGACTGATGAAGAGACTCCCTACCCAAGTAGGCCCCTCACGTTCGGTATTGCAACTTGATCTAGAGGTAACAGAAAGGTCTACCCTCATAACAATTTTTATTCTTCGTCTCTTAGGTTTGTTTAAGGTTTATTTTTGAGAGAGGGAGAGAGAGAGAGTACGTGCACCTGTGAATGAGGGAGTGGGTCGGGGGTGGGGACAGGATCTGAGTTAGGCTCTGTACTGACAGCAGCGAACTCGAACTCATGAACCATGAGATCATGACCTGAGCTGAAGTCGGACACTTAACCCATTGAGCCACCCAGGCCCCCCACTGGCCTTTACATTTTAGCTGTCAGTTTATTTTAAAATCGTGGCAGTCATATTTAAATGATTTTTTTCTTCCATAGGAAACTGTGATTTCTATAAGAACCAAGACTTGAAGAAAAGGAAATTGGATCCATCCTGAGGATCAGGTCCCACCATTGGACTTTGTGACAAAACGGACTTACAGAAACTACTTTTTGGTCAGAACATTATTCGCCATTCCTAGGGAATGAGCTGTATTTCCAAGGATTTACCTTGCTTCGTTTTGAACTGTACCTGAGGATGAGTGTGGGCGCGTACCACAGACAGTGCGGAGCAGTGAGAAAGTAAAGCAGCACTTTAAGAAAGCTGGTCACACGCTGCAGCGGGGAGGCTCGAAGATTAAACACCTTCTCTTTGGCTCTTGAGGCTCGTCACTGTTTATTCTTGAGCTCCTATGTTAAAACAAATGGACGTTTTGGGAGCCCTCAGTGGCTACCTGCCTGCAAGCAATATAAGCCACCCTACGGAGCCCGGACTTCACCTTCATGCCTGTATGAGGTTCTCGCTCCTGTCTGTCTGCTTTAAGCTTGAGGGCCCCGTGTTTCTGTTGTCCACACCACACCGCGCATCCTGCTAAGAACAAAGGCTAGTGGGCTTTCGCTACTTTGCATCCATCCAGCCTGCCATCTTCATCTATGATAGTCTCTCGTTTATAGGTTTATGAAGTCACTGTCCTGTGGTTTTTTTCCTTATCAAGGGAATGATCTAGGGCCAAAGAAAAGGCATTTTTAAGGAAGCAAAATAAAGTCTTTGTAACAAAAAACTTTAAGTAGGTGTTTGTTTGTAGTTTTCCATTTCAGCTGTGAGATATAAGCCACCTTCACATAAATGGCTTTTTTCATATAGTTTCGGATGTCTCCTAATTCTTCCCCTCAAATGAGGAGTTTGCAGGTTCACTTTTTAAGTAAAAAAGTACCTGGGTTGTACCTTTTATCTGATTTTCACACTGTGGCTTTTGTGACGTTCTGGATCGCACGTCCATCTGTGGGAAGCTATGAAGTCGAGGCAAGGAACTGCTGAAGTACAGGAAGGCAGCCATTTCTTTTCCTTCCGAAGACAAAGATGTAGCTTTGCCTGATTATCCCGTTACCTCATTACCTCATTACATGGGTTTGGTCACATGTTCATCTTTTGATTTTGACACCCTTACCGTTTTCATCAGAAAAAAAAAAAAAACCTCCTTTTCTGAAGTATAATCTTAGTTTAGTTCAGGACTGCTAAAGAGGTCCTGGAGTTAGGACTCCAGTTACATAAATTGTGCGCAACTCAAGTGAGCTAATGAGATCATGAAAGTGTAATTTGCTGGAAATGAAACCCCACAGCTCAACAAAAGCAAGTTTGGTTTATTTGAATGGTTTCATTAAATAAGTCTACAAAGGTAACAAACTGAAGCACAAAGCGCAATCTTACAAGAAGCGCAACACCCAGAGTTAGTGCAAAATGTACAATTAACGGCTGCTGAGAAACCCCCAAGGTTTGAATTTAGTTTAGTTTATTTGTTTTTTAAACAGTGTACATTGTTAAATAATGTAAGGAAAACATTTATAATTCAGAAAGATTTTTGTAATGTGGAAAAAGATACTCAAAGTGTATTATTAACACAAAAATAATTTAAACAGTTCAGTAGCGCTAGTTCATTCCTCTAGGCTTCAGTTTTTTCATCCACAGGAGGGAAGAAAAATCAACAGTAAATAAAACCAGTTCTTTTTGTGTGTAAGAGACCTCAAAGTTAAACCAAATAACAAAAAATAATGTGCTGCATTTGGTTCCCTCGTTCCTCTGGGAGAAAGTATGGTTTCATTCGTCTTAGGTGGTCCGTTTCTCATTTACTTGGCACCTTCTTTGTTCTAGTCTTACTCTCACCATCTCCCCAAGAATCTTAAGCAGAGAATAAATAAGTAAACAGCCTTGAAGCGGGGCTTGGAACCCCTCTTCTTTTAATTTCTACTTTCCTAAACCTTCGGCTCTCATTTGCGTCTTTGGGACCCAGGCTGACTTAATGAAGAAAACAGGACCCGTGAAGGAACGACGGGATAGGCCAGCCAACCAGGCCCTTCCTATCGTGGGGATTCCTGGGATGTGCCGGTTGTGGGTCAGAGATTGGAAAGGTGTTCACTGCCCAACTCGTGAAGAGAAGAAGCACCCCCTAAATTAAGAGTCAGGCTTCTTTCCCCGTCTTTAGAGATAACCAGAGATCCCAAACATAGCCAATTAGGAGTATTTCCTGAAAGCTCAGAAAAATAACAACTGCCCATTACAACTAGGCACAGCACGAAATAATACTGATTGGTTGCAGTTATTACTTACGGGGAGTATTTGTTTATATGAAAATGTGAGAGTATCAGTTCCAATTCTAGAAAAAGAGGTGGCACAACAGACTTCTGATCCTGCAACCATTTGGACATCGCATAGGAAATGAGTAGGAATAAGCACTCTTTCTTACAATGCTTAATTCAGATGTGGGTCCACCTTCCGCACAGCACAGTACCCCACGCTGGGAAATGCAGGAGACATTTGCAACAAGAGGAAAGCAATCCACACAGTTTTTCTTAGAGCAACTTTCTCCGTCTGTGACTTTTCACTATCAAAGTTTCCCAACTTAAAAACTAGCCCCCACTCCCTTTATATTCAGCCATTTCCATTAGGTCTTGTCTGTTCCAGCCTGGCTCGAGCGAGGCTTATCGCCCCCGCGGGCCAGGCAGGCTTCACAGATCTTCGTAGCGAGTCTGTTCTCCCGGTCTTAGTCTTTCCTTTCCTTTATCACACACCGCCTTTCATCTTTGAAATTGGCCCATTTGGTTACGACACCCCTCCTCGCTGTTCCTGAAACAGAACTTGCTGTTTCCAACCACTGATGTCAACTTAACTTCTCACCCTGCTCATCTTACACCTGCTCTAGACAAAATTGAATGACTTAAAAGAAAAAAAAATACTCTTTCAGTTTCCCTTTGGCATAATCCTCTGCTGGGGTCACATGGACCTATGACCCTTCCATACGCCCTCTGCTGATCTGGGGTCTGATGAGAAGTTGGTGCTAACGGCAGAAGCAGTTTAGTCCAAGGCACTAAAATATCCAGCAAGCAATACTGGGAGAACAGAAGTATTCAAGTACAGTAATTTATACAATCTTACATTCACATTTATTTATCTACTACAATGGAAATACAAAGGAAAAAGCTAAAGTGTCTCAATAAGTAAAGGACAGAGCTTGTTTTTTTCAACTTTTTAAACCTTCCGTATTTTACTCTTAAAACTACTGTTGTCCAACAACATTTATATATCACAGTGTTTCCACATCAAAACTGATGGCAAAGTTACATGTCCGCAGGGAACTTAATTTTTTTTTCCTAATTGCTAATGCTGCAGTCAGAGCTGCTAATATCATTTGCTTAAAGCACTAATGACCTATCATAAGAAAGGGTTGAAACCTCAGTCCCCTGGTGTTTTTCACTGGGTTCTAAAGAGCAAAAAAGAAAGAAAGAAACGAAAGAAGAAACAAAGAAAGAAAAAAGGGTGGGGGGGAACAGGGTAGGAGAGAGCCCAATGGTTGTTTTGTTTTTTGTCTTGTGGCTTGGATTCTTGAGGGAATAAGGGATTTGGGGTGGGTACCAAAATGAAGAGCTCCACCCACTTGAACCTCCAGATGGCGTTTGGTTTTCCACTGAGCTCTCCTGTGGCTTTCCGATAAATGATTCTTTCCTAGCCCTCGCTACTGGGTGCAAGGAGACAGGAAAGCATAGTTGAAACCGCCCCATCACAAGAAAGCTGCTCTTTCCCTCTTGTTCCACTCCAATAAACGGTGAAGGGGGAGGGAGATTCTCAATTCTGAGGGCTCTAAGCGGTATTAAAAACATTCCTTTCTGGCAAGAAATAACCAGTTAAATGCAGCACTAGTAGTTAGTATATAGGCTACTTTCCCATTCCCCCCTCCCACCCACCCCTCAGCATTCCATCTCCTGCCCCCAAATCTACTCGGTTAATGTCTCTAGGTCTAAGTGGTCCGCAGGTTGGAACCAGGGGGGTTGCTGATGGATTTCTGCAAATTGCTGATGTTGAAATTCTGTAAGGAGGCAGTTCCCACAGGTTGGAACTGGCCAAGCGGCTGTGGTGCTGGGCCACCTGTCCCACTCCACTGAGTGCCAAATGGGGGAGCTGGAAAACCGTACTGCTGTGGGGGGCACATGGACTTGGTGAAGTGACCTAGAGAGGTAGCTGATGCTGCAGAAATGGGGGCAGAGCCACCCAGGTTTGAGGTCATGGAGATGCACAGCTGACCAGGTGCGGAGAACTTCCTTGCCATTCCAGGGCCCTGGAAACAAAACAATTATACGTAAAGTCCTGTGTGGGCATGACCCATGGGTGTGAAAAGGGTGGTCCTGAAATATAATTCTAGGACCAGGGCTGGCCTAATCTGATAGGGTACGGCGAAACCCAAACTCAAACCAAATCTTTCATAATAATTATTGGCTTTTTACACTTAACAAATAAGGGCAGCACAACTATTCTGATTGGAAGTGGGCGGAGTGCACGTGTACATATGTGTATGTAGTTTAAGGTATAGAAAGAAAAGGGGAGAAAAAACTTAGTTGACAAACAGGGAGCTAGAGAGTCAGGGAAGAAAAATAAAAGGGTAACTGGGTGATTTTTGTTCGTTTCTAAAAGGGTTAAAATTCATGAGCTCCTACGAAAGGCTGTGGCATGAAATGGTGAGCACTAGCCTGGGCAGTTGATATCATCTCTGCATTCAGCTGTGGGCTCAGTGATACTCTTGACAGATGAGGAAAATGGCAAAAGGGGAAGACGACTTGCCTCATAATTCATGTGTCCTTTGCTTCCTCTCCTTCCTGAAAGATTCATGGCATCTCGGGCCCAATTGTCTACCAGCTTGTGCAGGTCATCTGTGAATGTGCCCTTCCTGCTGGACGTCATGGCAGGAGGCTGAGCCTGGGCGGCTTGGCTGTTCACTGTTCCCCCGACGGTGTTTGTGCTGCTGGTCCCTAGAATTAGAAGCAGCGACAGAAAACAACCATTAAAAGAAGCTCGGGTTTTACCTTCAGCAAGAGGGAGAACTTCACAGGGTGATGAATGGCAAGCCACTGCACGGGGGAGAGGATGAGTTGGGAAGCCATGCAAGAAGGGAAGGTTCCAAGGTCTTGTTTAGCCAAATGTTTTGGCATAAGAGGGTAATGGAAACAGGTTCTCTTCAGGAGTTGCAGAGAAGGCTAAATAGCTCAGGACGATGGCAGGCACAAAGGGCAGGGACCTCTTTCTGCCCTTTCCCGGGCGTGGCGTCTAGAGTACGGAAAGTAAAGTTTCAGTACTCTATTCCCAGCATCATGCTGATGAGGGAGGTGTGGTATGGTCAGTGAGGCTCTAGAAGGCTGCAGTATGCAGGGCAAAAGAAGATGATTTCTCGAGCACCGAGGCAGGGTTAAGTGGGAGTTAAAGGAGAGCAAAGGTAGATGTTTGGCCCAGGAAAAGATGGGCTCCCCACACCATGTGGATACAGTGCCACAGACTTTAGGCATTCTTTAACAGAAAGAGGTGATAAGAGAAACAGCATGCTCTGTTCAAAAAACCTTTTTCACCTGGACCCATACACACAAATTTGTAAACAAACTCAGGAGGGATGAAGGCTTCAACCTCTCCCAATCGCCTATGAGTTAAGAACCAAGATTAGTCAAGAGGAAGTTTCTCTGTGGTGTGCCTGAATCTTTCAACTCCAGGAACACACAGTTTTCCTGAAGATTACCTCAGTTTCAATCAGTT